TAACACTAAATTAAATGTTGCAAAAATTTGAATTGTAAATAACATGCGCCAACCCTTATTAACTAAATGATGCACATTCATGGAAGAATCTAAAGAGATAGAGTCAAGGCTGAAGTTTTCTGATTTCAATCCCCATTGTCGAACGCAAGATAACCGCCATGGCGTCGCGGAAGTATGTACTATAATTTTATTTGCTTATCCATGATGAGTTATCCTACTACCAAGAATTCTGACTGGATGTTTACATGGCCTGTGGGGATGTTTACCAACCGTTGGGTGTTGTCTTCCTCATCAAGATCGGCTAGCGTAAGGCTGGCAATCATCTTCAGAACATGGTTCCATGGAACCATCCATGGGAGAGAAGAGACCTTAGATTATTGTTGAAAAGCCGGTGAAGGAGACAGGACTCGCGAAAGAGAGCGAGAGAAAAAATTCAAATAGTCTCGACTGATTTTCCTATTTTAACGAATCTAATCACCTTAAAATTGAGTAATAAGGATATTAAAGTTGAAACCAAAGGCAAAATGATAACAACAATAACAACAATGACAACAATGACAACAATGACAACAATGACAATAATGACAATAATAATAATAATAATAATAATAATAATAATAATAATAATAATAATAATAATAATAATAATAATAATAATAATAATAATAATAATAAAATGCCTAGCTCTTGTAGTTTAGTTGGTTGGCGCATTCATTTAGTAAGTAGGAGGTCTTGAGTCCAACCCTCGACAAGAGCAAATCTCAATTTCAAATTTAAAAGTATACTACAAATCATTATATGGAAGAATGAATTCTTCATTTTAAGTTTTTTTATCATAGGCAACTTAATCTTGTTAAAATTAAGTGTAAGTCCAAAATTATTTTAATTTTTTTAGTTTAAACTTTTGAGTTTTAAATTATTTTAATTTTTTTAGTTTAACTTTAGAGTTTTAAATTATTTTAATTTTTTTAGTTTAACTTTAGAGTTTAAATATTGTTTATCGGCACGATCCGTCTGGAGGGATGCTCCCCCTCCGTTTGTGGACATTTCTTTGAGTTAATGCAATCCCAGTTCCTTGGCTTTCAAAAAAAAAAATTGATATAACCGTTGTTTAAAAATTTAAAAATGAAAAAAATTTCAAAAAACAAAATTAATTGTTGCATTTGAATTATTTTAAAAATTGAAAATAGAATTTACCCACCAAAAAAAAAATAAATAAATACAGTTTGAAGTGGCAGTTCAAACCGAAAATTCCCGGTTTCGGTTTGCCATTTTCCGGAGATGAGTTCATAATCAGAACCAAACCGTTGTCACATTTACTCACACTAATAAAATGTTACGAAAATTTGAATTGTAAATAAGATGTGTCAACCCTATTAAGTAAATGCAGCACATAAAATGGGACAAAAAGTTATATATCTTACGATGAACAAACAATTAAAAAAAAAAAAAAAAACTCTAAAATTTGTGAACATCTAGTATACTCTAGTTTATTTAGTGGGTTAGCCAAAGAGCTTGATATGGATTTATTAAAATAATAAAATCTTTTCTACCAGTAGAAGGCAGCTTTAACTGCTTGCCACTGATAAACAATAAAGCAATTAATATAAAACTTTAAAGCAATATTCTTTGTTAGTGGTCAAAAGAATTTGGAGGAAAAAGAAACAAATGTCAATCATCTCTGATTTCTTCATGTATTGGAAAGTGGAAATCAATTATCAGAGTCTTTCAAGTTCTTCAGAAATCACATTACCAAAAAGCTTGGTAATAAATTAAAACTCCAACAATGGGCTACCATATTTTACCTCCATTGCCACTGGTAATTTCAATTTTTATGGCAACCAAAGAAAATGCAGAATCAGTAGTTTTAATTTGCAGATGCAGCAAACAGTAAATTCGCATATAGAAGAAGTAATTGTGTATACGCATGAGGAAAGTGGGGCAATATTGCCAATCACACGCAACATAACATTTGGGGTGTTTGGTAAATAGTTGTTAGTTGATTGGGTTTGTGAGTTTTGACTAAGCTAGTTGATATTAGTAAATTGTAGAAAGATGTTTGGTAAATTAGATGTTAACTGATAGTTGATTACGTGCAAAATGACTTTTTCAAAAAACTGATCCAAAAAACAACTTTAAGCACCTTTTTGAATTTTAGCATTTTGGAGAAATAAGTTGTTACTAAAAGCTAATTAATTAAACACTTATATGAATTGTTTAACCAAGTCAAACAGCTAACAGTGATCAAACAAGTCAAAAGCCGGTCAGCACCTAGTCATGTCATTTTTATGAAGTATACCTTAAGGTTTAGACTTGTGGGTTTTTTAGTTGTACTTTGTTTTTTAAATTTTTCAGTAAATTTATTTATTGATAACAATTTTTGCTCCATTATGCTATGAATGAATTATGGATTATTTATGCTATCATGAATATATGATTAGTCCATATGATCTTTTGAAGATGTAAAATCTTTGTATTGTTCAATTACAAAGAAGAAAAAAGGAGAGTTTTGAGTAGTTAATAATATCATTTTTTTAATGTCATTTAAACATATTTGTTGACATAGGATCAAATTAAAATGGTTATGTTACAATAATGTTAGAACCAATGGAGATGTTCTGAACAAAATTACTAAAAGTAGAATGACACATTTAAATCTATGACCAAAATAGGAAAAAGAAATTAACACTTGGATTAAATAGACTAAAATGCATTTGTATCAAATAATTTTGTTTACTGAAGACCAAAAGTAGAAATGTAAAATGACACCTATAAATATATGACCAAAAATGAAATTAATTTTATTTATGCTTCAAAATAGGGGGAGAATCGTAATTGATGGATGGTGTACCAAGCCGACTAAATGGATCGACCCAAGAAATATAACTAGATCAAAGAAGTCCAAGAAGAAGCCTAGTACAAGACAAGTGAAGTTTTGATAGGCAATTTATATCGTGGACCAGGGTCCCCATAGCATTGTGGACCCTAGATCAAGACGACGTCGTTTTGATATTTAAGTTTTAATAGATTTTGTATTTTCCCGTTTCTCATGTTTCAACACAAATTTTAATTTATTCTATGTACAGAATCAATATCCTTAAGGTACAAATTTTCATAACACGATACACAAAAACTCACAACACAAGACACATACACATGTTATATATTTATTTATTCTCAAATATGATTTATATAGATAATATATATCCTATAGGCACATAATTTCATAATACATGACATAAATTCATAAAATAAGGCACAAAATGCTATGTGTTACACAACTACTAATCTATTTCATGTACAAAGTCAAAATCCATCCGTTTAAGGTACAGAATTGCATAACATGAGGCACAAAAACGCATAACACACGACACATACACATGTTTTATATTTTCTTTAGTTTAGGTTCAGAATCAATATTCTTAAGGTACATAATTGCATAAAATAAGATACAAAAACGCATAACACAAGACACAAAAACACATAGCACAAGATACAAAAGTGCATGTTATATTTACTTTATTTCAAGTACAGAATTCGTACGCTTAAAGTATATAATTATATAACTTGAGACACAAAAACGCATAAAACAAGACACATATACATGTTTTACAAATACAGTAAAATAAAATAAAAAATTAAAAACCTATAACGTGACTTGAACAACAAACGGTGACCGTCAAAATTAAAATTCAAAACTACGTTGTTTAGGACCAAGGTCCGCAATGCACTGTGGACCCTAGTCCACTGTATAACGATTGGTTTTGATAGTATTAGGCCTATATTCATAATGTACAAGGATTGAGCTTATATTGTACCAAGTTCAATTTTAATAAGATTAAGACTCCTTGGCAGTCTAGAATTTCTACTCTTAGCCTGAAATATGTATAAATAGATCCTCCATACATGAGAAATGACAAGCAATATTAAGCAATATACTATCTATATCCTCTCCGTATATTTTCTCTACATTTTTTCCCATATGCTCATTATTTTAACGGTTATGTTAGACAACTGTTGGCTGCTTAAAAATCATAAAACCAACAGTAACCAAACAATTTAATGCAATTGTAAGGACAAATTCAACTTTGCAAGTAAAATTTAAATCGAACTCATACTAAGGTCTGTTTAGTAAATAACTGATCAACCAAAATTTTAATTAATAAGCAATTTTTGGCGTTTTGCTACAAAACATTACATTGAGCAGTGTTTCAGTATAGCGTTTTGAAGAAAGTAATTTCTTTTCTTAAAATACTTATCTAATTTTGTGTTTAGTTCAATTAACGAGAGTTAACTGAAATTATTTTAATTTAGTTTTTTATAATATTAAATTTAATATTAATATATAAAATTTATATATTTAAAAACTCCATTAAAAATATTATTAAATACAAAAAAATAAATTTAAACATAATAAAAAATACTAAAGAAAAAAGAAAAAAAATTAATTTTACCAGTGAATAATAAACATGACAAGTAAAATGGAAAAGAATGAATAAAAAATATTTGAAATGTTTTTATTAAAAGAGTCGAAGCGCTATGCTGTGGAACCGTGTCCACTTTGCAAGGTGGACATGATTCTATGTTCATAATTAATGAACTATATGTTCATAATTATAAAGCTATATATTCATAATTTTTGAACTTCATATTCATAATTATTGAACTTTATATTTACAATTATAGAACTCTATGTTCATATTCACAATTATTGAATCTCTATATTCATAATTACAGAACTATATGTTCATAATTTAGTTCACAACTCTATGTTCATAATTATAGAACTATATATTCATAATTTTTGAACTATATATTCATAATTATGAACAGTTTTGAAACCGTGCGGACACGGTTCCACAGCATAATTTGCCCATTGAGCTCCACCCCTTTAGTGAGTTTGCTCAAGACATACAGAGTACATGACAAGGAAATACAAAACTATCAACACACCAAAAGCTTTACTCATATTCATTTGTACTAGTTAGCACCATTAGTTCTTTTCTCCAAAGTTATCAGTTACCCATATATAATACTAGATCATTTTGCACTGTATAGATATACTAAATCAAAATATAGATCGATTCGAACAGGAAACGATAACAGATGATGGTAAAAATCGAATGAGACGTCAATGAAGAATGATTTAATCAATTTAAAATAGTTCTCAGAGTATTATAACTCAAACGCTTTAATTTGGCTTCCGACCTACCACCACCGGTGAAGTCCCGACTCCCCACCATCTCCATAGCTACGCTATGTTTCGATGTTGGCAAGATTGAACTCCCTCCCCGCAGTTTCACTTGAAAACATCCTCAAGTCAGCTTCGGTGGGGGTCGATGATGATGAGATGACTTCAAGTTAGTCTTGGGGATGCCAGTTCCACTCTTCTTACTTGCCGGAATGTTTTTTATGAGAACAACAGATGAGTTTGCTTTCTTCAATGCACTGGGAAAAAAACGCAATGGATCCCGTTAAATACTTGAACGTAACACACAACAGATTCATAGAAACAGAAACAGAAAACCGGAAAACTTCACCATTCTTACAAGTCTCTATGCTTCCTTTCAAGAGTCTGGCCAACACTATCTAATGTCTTTTTGCAGCCTTCTTCAAATTTATTCCCTGGTTGAAGTCCCTGCACAATTCATGAACCATCATCATTCAAATCCAATGCCCACTAGGACAATGAACCAACCTCTGGGAAGGCAAATAGAGATGAGATGGGCTGAATTTATCTTCAAGACCCAATTTTTTCATACAAACATTCGTAACTCACTTAGAAGAAAGCAAACTGGAGCAATGGGACCATTTGAGAAGGAAAGTAAGTTTTCGTTCAAGATAGATGAGAAATATTTAGCAAGACATACTGCAAAAAAGCATAGATTTGATTTGGCTAGACGTTTATGTGTGAGTGATGGAGGTCCTTTGATCACAAAGCCCCCCTTGGGGTCTGATACCAATTGTACTTCCTGGTAGGTTAGTCAAGCACGCTTTGATTATCTGGTTGTCATATCCTTCTTAAAATCAATTGGTTATAAGTAGGTGCATATTAACCATTTAACCACATCCTTCCTAACTGAACTCGGTCGACGCCCAACAGTGATTATAGTCATTAATAAAAACAGGAAAAAGAGAAAGAGGCATTGCTTACAGACTACAAACTAGTCGAATTATGCAGGAAGGAGAGGTAGCAAATGACAACTAACCTTCAAGGCACTAATTTGCAGGGTGAATTTCTACTTGACATGTTTCTAAAGGCATCAAGATTCACTAGCAAAGATGCTCAACATTAGCAAAAGTCATCATCTTGTTTCACCCAAACCTCTTCCCTCCTTTCTTAGTCATCATACACAAAATGAAACTAGAAATAGTAATCCTGAGTGGAGTGTACATTTATGAGTAAATGCCAACTAAGGTCCTCCGAGCTTGGAAGTTTCGCCACCTTTAGTCATAAACTTTTAAATCGACCAGCCGTGGTCCTCCGAGTTTCGAATTTGACTTGCCGTAGTCCTTTCGTTAACATATGTCGTCTGCGTCGTGAAAAGTAAGGGCAAAACTATCTTTTTATTTCAACCCCAGCCAAAACAATTTATTTCCCTCAAAAACTAAAATTAGCCCTAATCTCCCCCCATCGAACTTCTTCTCCAATAATTCCTAATTACCCAAACACCGTTCTTGGCGAGCCAAAACCGCAATTTCAATCCAAAGATTTCACAATTGTGGATTCGTTCCTAGCAAAGAAAGCTCTACAGTTCTACAATTCTGTAGGGAAATGATTTGTTTTGGCTGGGGTTGAAATAAAAAGGTTGCCCTTACTTTTCACGGCGCAGATGACAACAGTTAACGGAAGGACTAAGGTAGGTCGAATTTGAAACTCGGAGGACCACGGTGGTCGATTTGAAAATTTAGGACTAAAAGGCGGCGAAACCAGAGGACCTTGGCTTCCATTTACTCGTACATTTATATATAGTAGGTAAATAAAAATAATTATTCAGTTACAATTAATTTGCCCCTTTGGTAAAATGCTTAGAAGAAGAGCGAATACCAATTTTAGTCCCACGAGTATTAGCAAAATGACACTTTTAGTCCACATGTTTAATTCCTGCCAATTTTCATCCACGACTATTGTTTTAGTACCAATTTTCATCCACGGCTATTTTTTTTTGGCGCCAAAATTCATCACGTTGGTAAGCCCTCCGTGTAAGACATGCCGAAATCTAAAAATTTTAAGGGTATTTTCGTCCTTTTCAACTTAAGATCCCAATTTGAGCATGAATAAAGGGATTTAAGCCTTAAATCGATCTCAATTCGCAGTTCTCTTCCTCATCCTGCCTTAATTTGAGGAGGAGAATTGCGAATTGGGATCGATCTTAGGGCTTAAATCTCTTTATTCATATTCAGATTAGGAACTTAATTTGAAAAAGACGAAGATACTCTTAATAATTTCATATTTCGGCATGTCTTAAACGAATGGGTGACCGGCGTGATGAATTTTGGTACTAAAACAACAATAGTCTTAGATGAAAATTGACACTAAAACAATAGTCGTGGATGAAAATGGGTAGAAATCAAACATGTGGATCAAAATTGTCATTTTACTAGGACTAAATTTGGTATTTGCTCGGTTGCTCCTTAGAAGAATTAACAAAATGTGGTGTTATCCCCAACTTGTTTGATGCAAAACAGTGAAATGTATGTAAATAAACGCAGCAGATGAACACAATGGATTATTAGAAGATTTTCCATATTTAATAAGACTCCATCCAGAAAGGCAAGGCAGATAGATAAGGAAGAAGATGACAGTAACCTTAAATTGCTTGAATCCAACTTACTTACTTGGATAATGTTTGAAATTTGAGTCTCTTCTCCATTCGAAACCTTGTGTTTCTTAATTCCACCGAAATTCCCATCCTCGGCGGCGCCGCCATCATTGGCTTTCCTCTTCTTCTTCTTCTTCCCCAAATGTATCGTCGTCTTAGATCTCTTGTCGCGAACCTTCCACACATTCTTCTTTCTGAACAACAATTTATCGCATTTCCATGGCGCACAGCTCGTGTCTATCACAGTAACCTCGCTCCGGGAAAACCCAAATAAATGTGCATCTATCTTCTCCTCCTCCTCGCTTTGCTCCAGTAGCTTCATTTCCACTCTACTTTGATCATCGCTCATCGGAGACGCGCTCTTGTCTTTCCCCCGGTCATCTCTGGAGCCGGAAACATTATTCAATTCCGACGAAAAGAATCTAGGGTTAATTTGTTTCCGGGACCCCTTTTTTTGTGCTGGGTAATTACTCGATTCCCCCATATTAAACAGCTCAGAGAGGGCATTGCTAAACGCGTTGAACAGTTGTTGTTTACCCCCGGCGGGATCGACCGGAGTTTCAAGAACCTGTTGTTTCTCCGACCCAGGTCGAGTCGAGCAGGATACTGAAGCGAGGTTAGTTTGCCCCAACTTGGTGGGGTTAATTGAAGCAGGAGGATTGGGAGAGGTAGAGCTGCTGCTCTGACGCAAGAATTGTTCGAGATTGACGTAGTCTCCGGCGGGGAAGCCCTTGGAGGATCGGAGGCGGTCGAGCCATTTAGAAGTGCCGGATTTCTGGGTGGAGATAGAACACAACATGGGTGCTGGGTGAGGGGTTTCGAGTTTCCACACAACCGGGGATTAAATGCGGAAAACCATCGGTGGATTTGTGAGAATACGAATACGAAGAAGCTTTAGAATGGGAAAACAATGGTGGCGTGACATAGGCAGGGGCGAGAGTCTACACTGAGAGCATGAAATGAAACGACAGCAGGAGAGGGCTGTCTACTGTCTAGAAGAGAAGGGAATCGTCTTTTAGTCACAATTAGTCTTACTTTTTTAGAGTTATTGGTGAGGTCATGACAAAAACTCAAACTACTGGGCCATATACAATAAATTCTCTTTGGGAACTAAGCATTATTATTTCCTCCCAAATGGAAGGTCATAGATTTGAGCTCCATTTTTTTTATGAGGATTGTTGTATACTTGTATGTCTTATTGTAAGAGCATCCTTATCAGTTTGAGATATTATGAAGAGAAGGTAAGAGTGAGTAGGAAAGAGAATAATGTGGGAGGGGAGGAAAAAAAATCAAAACTGATTTTATAAAAAAAAATATAAAAAATAAGCATGTCATTTCTTTATTGGTTCTCTCTCCTCCATCATTAATTCTTTTTTCTTGGGCAGAGTAATATCCCAACCTTTACATATGCTCCCCACCCCTTCTCTCTCTTGATTCTCTCTCTGCCACTAGGACATTTTGGCCTCAAAAGTAGTAAATTCTCCCCCATTTCTCCTCTGATGTAGATGCTCTAACACCATTTTTCGATGAGGTGTGAGGGAGAAATTTTTTTTTTGCAAATATATTTTTGTGGGTCCCATTGTCAAAAAAAAATTAAAAAGCGACTTTTCGTGGCAAGTGCGCGTTTAGCCCACCTGTCGCGGGACGTGTAAAAAGTCTCTATTTTTTGCTTTTCAGTTTTCTTTTTCTTTTTTCTTTTTTTCCCACCCTTCTATCTCAAGTGGCACCTTAAAATTTGTGAAAAAATTACACAAATGAGGATGTTATTAGAGCATCTCCAAGCGAGAGGCAAAACGCTATAATTCAACGCAAAAACATCAAACCTGCAAAATTGAGTGCTCCAATGGGAGACGGCATCCCTGCATAACGCCATTTTTTTGGCGTTACTGAACAGTGCTGCGCCATATTTGGCGTGGCACTGTTCATCCACGCCAAATGGAGAATGGGGAGAAAATTTACCCTTTTGTCCTTGCTTCTTTTTTTAATTCCAAATGTATCCTTTATTGTTTTATATGTAATTTTTTATTTTGTTAAATATTTATATTTTAAAATTTGTATTATTAAATATAAATTATATTATTTTAAAGATCTCGTTGAGACGATCGAAACAAGACTAATATTGAATATATATTAATTAAAATTTCAAATACATTAAACATAATTAGAACATAATAAAAATATATTAATAACTAGAATATATATTAATAAAAATTATTATTTACATCACAAGTTATATTTTATACTAAACTAATTAAGTTCGAACTAAATTATATTAAACTAATTATATTCGAACTAATAATTGAGAAATTAGATTATTTTAATGTAGAAATTTGGTGTTTTGGTGTTTTGGTGTTTTGGTGTAAATGGATTGGAGATGAATAAAATTTGGTGTGAGAATATTTCTTCTGATGTGACATTTAAAGAAAAAATTTGGTGTTTTGGTGTGAATTAGGTTGGAGATGCTCGTAGAACATCCCAAGAGTGGATATTTTGGTCAAATTTTGTTAGACTATATATGAAAGAGAGGAGGAGAGAGAAGTGGAAAAATAAAGAAAGCAAAATAAAAAGAAAAAAAATTGTTAGTTAGTGAGTACCCTAATGTGTAGTGCACACGCCCACTAGACACGATTGGTGCGCAAGGCACACAGTCGGGCACTAGTCAGCCTATTTCTTTTTCTTTTTTTAATTACAATAGACCCCCCAAAAAAACCTAAAGCCCTGCAAGTTTATTTTCTTCTCTCCCCAACACACTCTCTCTTTCACATCCTTAAATAAAAAACAAAAATAAAAAACAAAAAACAAAAACAAAAACAAAAACAAAAACAAAAACAAAAAAAAAAAAAAAAACAAAACAAAACAAAACAAAAACAAAAACAAAAAAAAAAAAAAAAAAAAAAAAAAAAAAAAAAAACCTTACCTAGGAGCTAAAGTTTTACACTTCAATGATGCCACCAAGTATCATCACTTGTCATACATGATTGCATCACCCTGTCTTGTTGTAAGTTAGAGTTCCATTAACAACTATCAATTGCTTCAAGGCTAACTTGAGTCCCATCACAACAAGTTTATCCATTTCCTCTTAGTGTTATTTTCATCTTTCTTTTCTCTCACCATCTCTTTTTGAACTAGAAATCTCTAGCTTTTTTCTTCCATATTGTTTTGATTTATGGAACAATTTAGTTGTTTAAGATCTAGTTCAGAAGTCGTCTATGAAGTTGTACTTCGATTGAGTCTGTACTAGTTCTGGTTTAGAGTATAATCATTTGATGGCTAATGAAGATTAAAGACCAAGGCGTGAACCAGTTGATAAGACAAGTTATAATGACTGCTCAAGATAGTTGGTTTGTTGGAGCTTAATCCGGAAGACCAACTATAAATGTCCTTAATTCTCTTTCAGATCGGATTGATGATTTCTAAGATTTAATCTGCAAATTCCATAATTCTCATAAGGGCATATTCATGATGCTTAAATGGAGTAACTTGGTGAATTCACAATTCATATCAAGTTGAATTTGATGTTTGAAGATTACGGGTTGTAAAACCACAAATATACAACTCGGGAGAGCTGCAGTTGAGGGGGGAGACTTGGAAGATCGGGAGATCTTACACCAACTCTTCAAGAATTTTCGACGCAATTGGAAGGCTGAGGATCAGCTGTGGAATTCGAAGTGCTTCGCTCAAAATCAATTGTTTGGTAAAAGACGTTTGACTGATTATGAATGAAGAGTTGGGCAAACCTTATTGTGGTGCCCCCCCAGATGTTGGAATGGCTATTCCGAACTGGGTTACCAAACGTCCTCTGTTCTTGTGCACTCCTCTTTATTGCATGCTTACTATTTTGCGTATTAACACTTCTCTGCACTACTAATAGAACTAGTTCACTAGTATATTCGATAACTTTGTTGCGCATCCTATTAATTGGTTATTAACAAATAAGTCTTAATTGAGTTACCACTGCGTAAAACTTCAATTAGCATTCGTTATTAAAACTCACCCCCAATTTATCCTCGTACAGGATCAGGATCGAGGTCCTATACCATGGAACCAGGCGGTTGTGTACGGAATTGTAACACCCCTAATTTTTAAAACATTTTAAAAGCTTATATAAATAACGCAATCTATCATTGAACATCCCAAACAGAGCATAAACAATCCATATGTAATCCATAAATAAATTAAATGCAATCCAAGGCACGTAGGTCGTTGCTATTACTAGTACTAACTAGACTAAGACTACGAGTCCATCTAGCGCGCTCCTTAGCTAATGATCATCACCTGAAAAACATATCGTAGCAACCGTCAGCGAATGATGCTGAGTAACCCACTCCCACGCGTTAAGTACAATAAATATAAATATAGGAAATCATTTTGAAACTGGAATACATATATAGTCTTAAACAACACTAGCTTTCAAATCAGGATCAAGACTAATAATAGAACAACGGATCGACATCATGAATACCAGTAACATGCGTCATATGTTTGCAATGCATAATAAACAGACAAGAACATAAATAACAATTAAAGGCAAACAATGGTATCCAATAGCAATCAATTAGCAAGTAATCATCAGAACACACAGTCCATCTTCCAACCTTATACCAAGTTCCAACCTTTACTCCTCTCCATCCTTATATCAGTTCCAACATGTACCTCCATGTCACCCTTATATCGCCTCCCTTATTCCTCCGGAGTAACTACATGCCCCACTCCGAAACCACCAACAAGTCCACCAACATGGTAGCACCGAAGTGTCATTCGCATGATCCGTGCCTCTAGCACCACTATCAAGGGGTCAGCGCATATAGCTCTGACATGGCACCGCGGCGCTTATACCCTGACCCAAGCCTTTAGCCATCAAGTCTAAGGGGTGGTCCATGCCTTTAGCACGATAACCAAGCACTCGTTGTGCTATCCGTCAACAATTCATTTCCACCAATCACAATCTCATTATCATCAATCTCAACCATCATTGCGCAATGCCACAATACCCATAATCATTCAATCAATCAATCATATAATCAACAATAACAATCAAAGTACAATAACAAACGACACATGCTGCATACAAATTCCTAGAACGGTACTCAAAATATCATACGAGACTCATAAACATCAAACGGGGCACAACGGGACACGAGGAAACATCAAACGGGGGAAAACGACCCGCCACGCCACCACATTCCAGCGGGTGGGCGGTGGATGGAGGACCACCCACCGGTGGGCAGCCACGACTCCAGCGGGTGCCCGGCGGGCAGCCCACTGCCCGCTGGAACTGGGCAGTCCAACCGCGGGTAGGTGGTGGGGACTCGCTCCCCCCCACCTACCCCCCACTAGTACGAGGGTAATAATTAGGTTCGGGGTTCGTTCGTGGAACCCAAAACCATGTCCAAACACATTCCAACACGTATCAACAACAACACGGATTCGATTAACAAAGATTGAATCAAGAATCATTCCAATCACATAACGGTTCAAGAGCATCCGGAACCTTAAAAACATCAAGAAATCTATATGCAAAGCCCTAAGGACAAGTCCTAGACTAGAATCAACACCCGAGCATGCATAAACCCACCCAAGAATACCAAGAACATCACAACACGAGATTCACGATATAAACCCTAGGGACAAGCTCTAGACTTAATTAAATACAAGATCAAACCAATAACCACACAAGGCCATCAAGAATATCAAGAATAGCAATAATTCACCATATAAACCTAAAGACAAGCTCTAACAAGATATACATACAAAATCACACAATCAATCATTCATTCGGAGCCAACCAATAAACAATAGCAAGGAAAATAGGTTTTGTAAGACATGGGTTACCTCTTAGCCCTAATTAATTTCCTCGGCTACTAAGGTTCTTCCCAAAGATTCTTCTCCCAATCGATCTTCCTACGCTTGATGGTGGGTGAATTCATTGGCTGGATCTCCTGAGAGGTATTTTCGAGTAAGAGAGGGGTGAGGAGGGTTCTAACTGCTTCCTAATCTTCTATTTATATGTTTAAGGGAAAACA